ATTTTTATTTATGGGCTTAAAAATTTAAATGCTAAAAACAAGATACAAACAATCAGAATATTGTACCTGGTGGGGAGTGCACAATGTAAACATGAAACATATGCCATTACCTATATTGTACTGTGGTACAGTTATGGAGGCCCTTCATAATGCAGAGGTCAGCTGCCTGCTCTGCCAATAGTTAGAAATGGCACTATAGTAAGCAGTGTTTAATAAACCGCTGTTTTTCTCAATTCTGCTGAGGTGAAATTCAGTGCAGTCATGTATCGTGATACGTATCGTGGCCTCTGTATTGTGATACGTATCGTATCGTGACTTTGCTGGTGATGCACAGTCCTACCGGATACCCGGATGTCAAGGCTTTGAGAGTCCCGTTCTATGGTCCAGATGGATAAAAAAAACAAAAAACTAATATAGTTTCGTGCGCAGTGTCATTTACATTTCACCAGGTTAAAATAATATCTCAAGCTTTATGCTTGATTTGTAACAAGTTAACCTCAAAACCTTTTCAGCTTTCTCTTTCTGCAAATTGTATGGTGTAGCCATATGATGACGGCACCCACAATGCTATCAAATACTCCAGTGCAGCTCCATTCTTCGCGAAAGATGGATGGACCTCGGTGTTAGGCGAAATATGGTAGGCCATTTGCGGGGGAATTTTTACTTTACAAATTACAGACATGGCCGATTCGCACGGGATTAAGATCACAGACAACCTCCGCAATTATTACAAATGACTGGAGGTCACCAGGTAATACTAATCCCGTGCGAATACGGCTTTAGTCTCTTAGCCATGCTAAAAGCAGTTGTTTCTCTAAAATGCTAAAGCTAAGGCGATATGAACCAAAAATAATATCTTGTAATGGTAATTTTTATTTATTTATCCCATTGCACTGTCCAGCCCTACCTTTGTCAAATTTAAAAAGATATTGAAAACCAGGATTTAACAAACCATTCAACAGATTGACAAATCCACAGCAAATGCTCTTCAACAATCTGTTATTTCCCAAATCCTGCTTGAGGATGCTAATTTTCCATTAGCATAGCCAGTTTGGCCTGAATTGGAAGCAGATGCCTCTGCGCGGCCAATCCCACTCCTTCCTCCCATTTGTTGTGTCTGTTTGAGGAAGCTATACAACCTTGGCTCAGACAATACGAAGAGAATCCAAGGCCAGAAATAGTGCTAAATATATACAAGCATGGGAAGAGTGTGTACAAGGTTCATTAGGTGTACACATACTTGTTCTGTTTGGACTAAATGTAGTTTATGCAATAGCCAAAGCAGTTTGTGTGTTAATAAACAGGTTATTTTAAGGTGATAGTTAAGTGCCTGAGAGGCATAGTGTCTCCTGTGTCCCCATGAGCAATAGCGAATGGACACTTCCATGGCATTGGACATATTTTTTATCAACATTACTGTCTTGCTACACTTTTAAAAATAATGGTTCCATATAAAAGGGGATTTTCCACTAATAAAAATGTAAGGTTCTTTACTGGCGTTTATGGTTAAACCATTAATAACCTGTAACATTTATGGAAGATTTCCATTGCACGAATGGAAAAATGGAATTTAGATTATTCAGATTTTTTTCACACTAAGAAAAAAATGGTTCTGTTAAGAATTGCTCACTGAAAGGTTCTTTGGGGAACCCAAAATGTTTTTTCTAATTGGAGCTTTTGCACCGGAGGAAAGTTTTCATAGTTCCTATAACAATTGGCTGAAATACACGACTTTGTGTGTTCACAACCCAGGAATTTTGAATGATTTTAGTAAAAGGAACACCATATGGGGAGACTAAATTAGCCCCTACTACAGAGTAAATCTAACCCAGCACAATAGGAGCTCCCAGTGACGTGTACATTGATTGGCCGAACGCATGCCATACGAAACACTGGCACCTGCCATTTTTAAAAAGCAGTGTAAACACCCAGTTTACACATGCTTACTCCAGAAACTCCACGAACATGGAAACCAGTGATAGATGGACAGACGTCAGAAGTCCAGGCTCTTCTCCTTCCTCTATCCTCCAGTTGTTGAGGTTGTTGAAGGCCGCGCTTAAATTATGTCACTGTCAACCAGCTTATGTCACTTCAGAGTTCCTACTGGCAGTGTGAATGCAACATTAATACTCCGGGTACTGCACTGGTGGCTAGTCCTTATAAGTGAGTTCCTATAACCACCCAGGCCAAAAGCCCCTAATGTGAAACCCCCATTTTTGAAACCTTTATTTATAAGAGTGTGCAGCGATGGCATAGAAGAGCCATTTTGGGTTCTCCAGAGAACCTTTCAGTGAACAGTTCTTAAAAGTACCATTTTTGTTCTTGGTGTAAAGAACATTTGTGACCCGTGCTGGCAAAATGAGTCGGAAAGTACACGGTCTAATATTGAGCTACAGGCAAAAGAAGTGAAAAATTTAAGTTTTGGTCGAATTTGAGGTTTTCACAGAAATGAGTTCATCAAGCCCTCTTCTAGTGAGTCCCAATGCTTCAAATAGTAATTAAACTTCTAAAATTATCTTTATTTGTACGTTTTCTGAGAGGAGATCCTTTTCTCTGCTCACTTCTGGACGACTGCTGCGTCTCACCACAAGTTGTAGGATATATCGTTGCGAAGCGCAGCATTCCAGCTTTATGAATATTCATAGCGAATTCTGAATGACATGAGTCTGAACTAGTAAAATATGATTTTCAAACCCATGCTAACAAACAAAATGATCGCGCTGACTGACATTTGCAACCTCTCAGAGAGCGCGCGATCTCCCTATAAAGTACATTATTGCGAAATATGTCTTGGCGAGATTCACACAAACATGATCTGTTGTGTCTTACATGAACGTTCAGTTAATGGTTGGGGAAAAGTGTGTAACATTAGAATGTGTAACATTAGATCCATGCATTACAGTAGGTCAAAATATTGATCTGTCTCGATGTTAATCAAACATTAAAAGAAAGACGGAATCATTCGCTGCTCTTGTTTAAACTACAGTTTATTTGCATTTTTGTTTCTTATTTTTAATAAAGATAAAATAAAAAAACGCTATATTGTGATTTAAGAAAATATATGTAGGAAAATATGTATTGTTGCTTGGTGATTTTGCTTTGGAACCTTCAGAAAACTTTAACTTGATTTTTCTCAAAATCAACTTTGCTGACTCTATCGCCTTCAAATGACTGTAGCTCAGTCATTTTTTGTCTGATTCATACAAGTTATATATGATTTTGAAGGTATTTTAATGTAGAATGTTGAAAATGAAGATAACAAATTTTTGAAAATGTGCTCATTCCGACTCATTTTGCCAGCAGAGGTCACATTTTAATGATCTAAAGGTCTTTCTTCCACTATAAAAATCCCTTTGTGCAATGGAAAGGTTCCATGGATGTTAAAGGGGTCCTATTATGCTTTTTCACTTTTTTTAATTTTAGTCAGTGTGTATGTTTGGGCATAAAAAAGATCTAGAAAGTTACTAATCTCAAAGTCCACTCCAAAGGGAGATATTTTGTTTTTTAAAAATCCCTTTTCAAGAACTACAACGAACGGCTCGTTTGGACTACAGTGTTTGTTTTCCGGGCTTTGTGAGATCACAAAGCGGCTCATTGGAATATCATTACAAATAATGCCCGCCTACAGAAATTCAAAAGGTTGGGGGGTGGGGAGGGGCGAGGTTGTGGTTAGAACGCTTGGTTGAGTGAGTGCATCAGACGAGACGATGAAGAAGAAGTGCAGCTGCAGAATTGGTGCATCAGAGAAAACGAAGAAGAAGAGCTGCTGTGCTGTAGCGTCAAATTTTCGGCATTTCTAGAACAATTCTTACAAGTATAACATGACGTAGCTGGGCGCCGCGGACAGACGCCGAATGGCGCCGCCGGTGTGCCTACACTCATAGAAAATAAAGTATTTGAATTTTAAAGACGTGGCGCGATGCGACGCTGTGCTTCTCGTCCGGTGTGCGACCGCCTGAAACTCTGTATTTTTTATTTTTATTTATTTATTTATTTTTCACCTCCATGCCCAAACGTCTTTGTTTGGGCTTCCGAAAGCGGATGATGTCAGGAAACAATGGTTGCAATTTATTTTTAACTCTGTTCCTGAGCATTATAACCCCAATTTGCTATTGTGTGCTGCGCATTTTACTGAGGACCGCTTCCACAACATGAGGGAGCACAATGCCGGATTCGCCAAAAGCTTTTGTCGACAGACGGAGCAAGGGGCGTGGCAGTACTGAAACACCGTCTAAGCTGTTCGCCAATCACAACGCACTGGGACAGCTAACCAATCACAACACATTTTGTTTTTCGGAAGGCGGACCTTCATCAAAGCCAGAACTAATCGAGCCGTTTGTGCCAGGCTGGGGAGAAAGGTATTTTAATAATGTAAATTTATGTGAAAAATAATGCGTTTTTCGAACACAAAGCATGAGAGCGTGTTCTAGTACACCCCCAAAACAAAATCAAGACTTTGTAAAAGAGCGTAATAGGACCCCTTTAAAGGTTCTTTATGGAAAGATCAATGCAAATAAAGAACCTTTTATTTATAGTAGTGTACTCAACATTCCACCAGAACAAATTAGTGGGAGGACCTGGATGACGGTGGCATAATTTTTGTGACTCCACCCACTGGTGCAGAGAAGCTTCTGCCTCACCTAGGCTGCCTTAGGCAGACACAAAGACACAGAGAGGTGAGACTGGCCTATGCTGGCTTCCTCTCTGTATTGGAATACAGGATTACTGTGCCTGGGCAGATGTCTTAACTGTAGAGGCCAAGGAGTGTTGGGTCACAACAGGTTGCTGGCAAGTGAAATGTTTATGGAATATATTTTGAATTGCCTCTGCTTAGTTTTTTGGATTGAACTTGAGGGCCTGTGTCATGTAGAGCAGAGACTGGATAAACTTCTCTGGCAAGACTGCTGTCTTTGGTTGTGTCTTGTTCGATAATGTAAAAATGTTGCTGTTACTAACTACAGTTGTTGGCACTATTTGATTTCATGTCTTGTTCTTCACAGTTTGACAGACAGCCGCCATCATTCTGTGCTGCAAGGGTGACCCCAAAATGTCTTCCAACGGTGATCTGCAAGACATTGGGAGCTGGGACAGCTTCTGGGAGGTAAGTATCCCCCACCGCAAATACACATATGCACACGATCTTCCTGATAGAGTGGGCCGCATACTGTAGCGTCCAACCAGGGTGTTGGAGACTACAGGAACGGATACCTGCAGATCTGATATTTCCATGTGTTCTCTAAGAGGTTACCGCTTCTGGCGAGATTTGTAGTAGGAGTACCACTTCTCCATTGTTTTTTTAAGCATGCTTGGTCAGGTCCACACTTGTCTTGGAGACAACTAACAGATATGAAGTGCTTTTAGATAGTGAAGTGAAAGTGAAAGGTTTATTTTACTATCAGCTTTGTTGGCAGTGTAGTACAGACAGTAATTTTGGGGAGAATCGGGTAGAATGTGCCAGTGGGGTAGCAAAATATATTTTTGGAATGGTGTTGTGTATAATAAATAGTTTATTTGTATTCATAGTTTTGTTTGAAATATAAATTATTCATGTATTCCCTTATAATTCAATTCATCGCTTGACATTACACAGCTTACCCCAAATGTAGCTTACCGCTTTTGAGATTTGTCACAAAGCCCTTGTGTTTGTTGGTGCAACAATATACAGTAAATACGATCTAATTTCTCCTTGCTTAAAGGAAAAACTAACTTAAAATTAACACAGCTTACCCTACTCCTAAACTGGTTTATGTATGTTAAAGGAACTAGAGTCATAAATAATGAATCTAATTCTATAATCTTACATTTAATAATTAATAAACTTTACTTGACTGAAATGTAATTATTCAATGATAATCCTAGCTTTTAACTGCCGTGACAAGATCATTGAGTCACTGAGCTAAACTTGAGAACCGGATCAGTCAGATTTAAAAATGAAATATATCAACTCTGTGTGCAACATTTTAATATGACTCTAACATGACTTTCGTTGGTCAGCCTGGGAACTACAAGAGGACGGTTAAACGCATTGACGATGGCTACAAACTATGCAACGAGCTGGTCAGCTGCTTCCAGGAGCGGGCCAAGATTGAGAAGGGCTATTCTCAGCAGCTGAGTGACTGGGCCAGGAAATGGAGGGGTGTTGTGGAGAAAGGCGAGTATGACTTTGAGTCTCATAGTTCATCCTCCTAAAGTAGACGCATCCCTCTACAGTAACATCAACACATTCTATTCTGATGAGTTTATAAGTATCATAATACAATGATTATAAATCTGTCAGTGATGTTACTCTGCCAGTGCCCATTCTTAATAGCTGTGCAGTAGTTTGGGGGAAAGAAGGTATGAAAATGTACAGCAGTGGCGAGCGGTGACTTTTTTAACCGGGTATGCTGAGTGATAAATCCCCCGGCTTTTAGGACACTCAAAAGGGATCAGAGATGACAAATAGCTAAGAAACACCGTGGCAGGTGTCGATTTAAAAGTATGCACATTTCCTACCTTATTTGTAAATGAAATTCATATCCAATCCTTCTTCTATCGCTTCAAGTTTATCCATTATTCCAATGCAAGTAAAATATAGCTGGTTTTCCAAGTAAAAACCACCAAATAATGTTTACACTTAGTTACGTTATGATACGTAATCAGAGGGAGAAATGGGGGGATTCCCCCGGTCTATGTCTCTACATCTGCTAAATTATTTTTTTATTCCCTGTGAATAGGTGTTAAAATTCCCACCCGGGTGACACTAATAACAGACCATGCAAAATACCAAAAAAATATTTAAAATATTGCAAAGTAACGTTGCAACCTTGCAAACAATAATAAAATCAGAGAAGGACTTTAACTGTAAGCGAGAACAATATGATGTTTGTTATTATTAAAATTTTATATAGCCCACGTTTTTATAAACACTGTGTTGTCTATGACCAGACATGTAAGAAGATATGTTTTCAGTGGACTTTTAAAATTTGCTTTGCTTGAGAAAACAAAAATATACAGTTACAGTGTTTTTTTTCTTTTGATTTGGTCGAGTTGGTTTTGCATCAAACACAATGTGATTTTCGTCAATCGAGATCTGACAGCAACAGCACATTTTTCCGCTTGGGCGAGCGCTTCGCTGACAGCTTACCTCGTGCATTAAATCTGCCGCAGACCAGCAAATCACTGAGAATGCGCTACAATCCTGAAGAGTCATAACAACAGAGTGGAGACAAGAAAGCTGCGGAGAATCTGCTTGCCAGGAACCAACCGCAACTGGTAGATTTAAAGAAAATTACTGCCGTTTGGCAAATAAATCATTGTACGTACTTATTCCTAACTCTTTAAGCTTTAAGTTACATTTCAAATGACAAGGGATCAACTCGTAATCATGTTTATATGAATTATCCCTTGAACTTATTCTCTCAAATGGCCTGGGTATGCGGAGCATTCGCAGCTTATATGGACGGAACGCCACTGATATACAGTGATGCGGCCTTTGTCGCTAATGTTGTGTCGTGTCCGTGATCACTTTATATTGTGCGTCATTTCTTTAGCAACCAGTGTACATATACTGGATTTTGACTATATTTCCTGCAAGCATGGCTGTTTTTTGAAGACCATGTGACCTTAAAGGGGCAGACACACTGACCTACAGTTAGTATAGACAAGGCAAGACATGTATCTAGAGAGCAGAAGATGAGAATTACTTTTTTGACTTGGGCTTTTAAGCAAATATCCAGTGTAATTAACTGACAGATAAAGCTAAATTCTGATTTCTGTCCTGCAGGCCCACAGTATGGGACTCTGGAAAAGGCCTGGCATGCTTTCATGAATGCAGCAGACAGACTGAGTGAAATCCATATGGAACTAAAAGAGAAACTGGTTGTTGAGGACAGCGAAAAGATTAGAAACTGGCAGAAGGATGCCTTCCACAAGCAAATGATTGGTGGATTCCGTGAGACCAAAGATGCCGATGAAGGCTTCCGCAAGGCCCAGAAACCCTGGGTCCGAAAACTGAAGGATGTGAGTCTCCTCCTGTGCAGAATACAAAGCCAATACTATGAATTTTGATCCATGAGCCACGATGGCTGAGAGAACAACGTTTTGTTTGTTTTGTTTTGTGTATTTTGTTTTGTTTTGTTTTTAAATGGGCAGTACACCCAAAATTATATGTTATCATCTGCTCATCGTCATGGCACCTGAACTAGTTTCTTATGGAATGTAAAATTATGGAATGTAAATTTAGCTTAGTAAAATAGCCTGACCACCATTCACGTTTGGGGTAAACATTAGGATGTGTAAATAATGTCAGAATCTTTATATTTGGGCGAGCTATCCTTTTAAAAGTATGTTTTAAGAGAACCATGTGTGTATTTGGTGTAACAGTGTATTTAGTAATGAGTAAATAGTATGGTTGTGTAAAAATCTTCTCTGCGGTAGGTGGAGTCTACCAAAAAGAGTTATCACCAAGCCCGGAAGGAAGAGCGCACGTCATTGACCCGTGAAACACATGCCAAGGCTGACCCCACCAAATCCCAAGATGAGGTCCGCAAGTTCACGGACCGCCTGGAGAAATTTACCCAGGAAGCAGAAAAGGTATGAGAAAAAGCACAGAAAACAGTTTTTTAGTTTTATTAATGACTTTATTAATTTTTTAGGGTTTTATTAGTCCATTTATTTTTTTTAATCTTAATTTTCTCATTAAAATGTTATATACACGACATTTCCAATCATAGTTATTAATGTTGTGCACTGCTGTTTGAGTTTATCACTGGTAAACTGAAGCGCTCTTTTAACTTAACCAAACGCATTCTATATGAGATAAATCAGATATACATCAAGTAAACAATATTACAACGTACAATTGCACAAAAGGCTGCAAACGAACAGCGCGCATCTGAAGTGTCTCTGAAGGAAATAATGCATTATTTATCGGCTTTAAGATATAAAATAAGAAAATTTGGCCGATACCGATAACAGAAAAAATGAGCATTTATCGGCCGATATGGTGGCCGATATATCGTGCATCCCTAATTTATATGTCTCATAGCTAAAAACTGAAATAAATGAAGAATGTTAACCATTAATAAGTGCTTATTTGTTTTTCCAGGCTCTCTGCTATCATTATGTTTACTTAATGAGGAATTCTGAGCATGTCGTTGACTATTAACCAGGGTCATTTCAAAAGAGCTGAAACATTGTGTATCAATTAGTTTTTTAATCAGTGAACAAATACCTAATTTCGTTTTGTGTTTCGGCGTTAGCTTAAGCAGCATGGAGTTACATGTTCAGAATAGCAACAAAAGCAACACCTTCAAACCTGTCTCTGCAGTTTTGCACAAGTGTTTACTTTTGTTGAGCTGTAATTACAGGGCTGAGCTGTGTGGTAATCATATATAGTTAAGTTTCATGTACAGGAATCTTGATGTTTACTTTATCCCTCCCTCATTCTTTGTATTTCCATGGTACTTATTGTTCCTTGCTCTTATGTTCTGGTAGCAGTGGTTATGAAACTAAAAACTAGATTTTTTTTTTTTTAAAGAAGGGATTGTCTGAACAGAACTGGTCAGCAGGACACTGGGGTGTAGTGGGTGGTTTTAGCATGTTACTAGGGTGTTCAAAAAGCCCACCCCTAGTCTCTTTGCCTCATTTTCTTCCTTTGGTGCACTTTCAGGGAAATAAAAGTGCAAAAATTGTACCTGTAGGGGTACACACAGCTTGTGACTAGGCAGTACCCTCAAAAGGGCATCTTTTTGTACTTTAACACCTAAAAGGCTCATAGTAGTAACTAAAAAGATAAGTGTGCTGATTTTCAACCAGCTTTGTATTGTTACAATGTTGGTAGCAGCGGTGGACATGAAGGGCCCTATCATACACCTGGCGCAATGCGGGGCCAGGTGCGGCGCAAGTGTTTTTGCTAGTTGCTAGTTTTTGCCACGTTGTGCAAATAGCAAATGCATTTACGCCCATGGGCGTGCTGGTCTGAAAACGAGGTGTGTTCAGGTGCATTGCTGGCGCGTTACTATTTTGAGGCAACTGAATTAGACTGCGCCATTGACCAACAAAAACCTGGTCTAAAGTCAGGCGCAATATTGAATTTTTTTTATTTAAAGAGCGCGTTAGTAATATGCGCCTATAGGTGGGTGCACAACGCGCGTACACTTTTATTACACACTAGGGCTGGGCGATATGACGATATTATCGTATATAGACGATGTATCGTAAGTATCGCGATGTCGATGTCAACAGTCAGGTAACAGACGATTATCGACATTATCGGGGGAAAAATGACAAATGATAAACCTAGTAAGTTGCAAATATAGTCACCATACAGGTCTTTTTGCATGCAAGGATGAAATAATTTAGTAGGAGGGTTGGAAATTGAAAAGCTATTCCAATTTCGGAAATCAGATCAGATGCGTAAGGTCAGCAATCAAATTACTTGTTATAAAATTACATTTCGATTCTGCTTCTCGATTTCTTTATGCACATTTATTGTGATTTCAAAAGATTCAACTGCAAGAAGATGAAATAGAACTCACTTCTGCACTCGTGCGCTGTTTTCTGTGCTGCACACACACACACACAAAGCACACACACAAAAGCCGCCTCTTATATATGCGAACACTGGACTGAGCTCTCTTTCTCGCATTCTTACACATTCAAATGGACAAATACACACAGAATTATATCAAAATATCCCATAAATACAATCGGTTATGTCTTAAGTGAACATAAAGAGTTGAGAAAGAAAACAAGGGTGTATTGGGTCCATGCATTGACAGCAGCCGCTACTGCCAATCATTAATGTTGATCTAAGAACAAAAGAAACATTGAGCTGGACTGAATCACTTTTGTAACCTCAGTTTATATTTTATTTGCCTGTTGTTCGTTGGTAGCAGCGGTGGACATGAAGGGCCCTATCATACACCTGGCGCAATGCGGGGCCAGGTGCGGCGCAAGTGTTTTTGCTAGTTGCTAGTTTTTGCCACGTTGTGCAAATAGCAAATGCATTTACGCCCATGGGCGTGCTGGTCTGAAAACGAGGTGTGTTCAGGTGCATTGCTGGCGCGTTACTATTTTGAGGCAACTGAATTAGACTGCGCCATTGACCAACAAAAACCTGGTCTAAAGTCAGGCGCAATATTGAATTTTTTTTATTTAAAGAGCGCGTTAGTAATATGCGCCTATAGGTGGGTGCACAACGCGCGTACACTTTTATTACACACTAGGGCTGGGCGATATGACGATATTATCGTATATAGACGATGTATCGTAAGTATCGCGATGTCGATGTCAACAGTCAGGTAACAGACGATTATCGACATTATCGGGGGAAAAATGACAAATGATAAACCTAGTAAGTTGCAAATATAGTCACCATACAGGTCTTTTTGCATGCAAGGATGAAATAATTTAGTAGGAGGGTTGGAAATTGAAAAGCTATTCCAATTTCGGAAATCAGATCAGATGCGTAAGGTCAGCAATCAAATTACTTGTTATAAAATTACATTTCGATTCTGCTTCTCGATTTCTTTATGCACATTTATTGTGATTTCAAAAGATTCAACTGCAAGAAGATGAAATAGAACTCACTTCTGCACTCGTGCGCTGTTTTCTGTGCTGCACACACACACACACAAAGCACACACACAAAAGCCGCCTCTTATATATGCGAACACTGGACTGAGCTCTCTTTCTCGCATTCTTACACATTCAAATGGACAAATACACACAGAATTATATCAAAATATCCCATAAATACAATCGGTTATGTCTTAAGTGAACATAAAGAGTTGAGAAAGAAAACAAGGGTGTATTGGGTCCATGCATTGACAGCAGCCGCTACTGCCAATCATTAATGTTGATCTAAGAACAAAAGAAACATTGAGCTGGACTGAATCACTTTTGTAACCTCAGTTTATATTTTATTTGCCTGTTGTTCGGCGCTGACTGTAATGGCAATGTGCATCTGTGTATGCGATTAATTTGGAGATGCGTTCCAATATAATTTATCCTTATTTAGGGTATAGGCCTATTCTATTTTAATCTGCAGTTTAATAAATATTGACCAAGCACCATTTCATTCAAATGTCCACTTAATCTTTAATATTTGGCCATTTCTTTAGGACAGAAATGCTATAGCCACTGTAATTAAAAGAATGTGGACATCAAAACGTGTAAACTCAGAGTGAGGGTTTGAGCTTTTATTTTGAAACCACTATGTATCCTCCTGTGTTTGCATAGATTTATAAATGATTTACCTTACAAATCTGATGAAATGGCGCACGTTGCGTTCCCAGATGAACTTTGTAATAAACCCAAACGATACCAGTACAAATGATAACAGTTCCTGTGGAACTACTGTGAACAGAGCCACTGTGTGACACATGTACTTAACCTACACGCATGTAAATAATTTAAGCGCATGTACTGTATTAGAACTGCATCGCATATAATTATTAAATTAAATCGTAGCGTTTGTGAATTCACAATTATGCTTAATTATGATTTTTAAATGGGTTTAATATATCATGCAGCCTTGAGAAACAGTGTAATATTGTGTTTTATGGATTCTCATCCGTGAAATGCGCCACTTCCGGTATTTTGCCGGTTAGTCGACGCGAGCAAAATGGAAAGGGCTCTGGCTACAGCCTTGCACTTGCACTCTCAGACTTGCACTCTCAGACTTGCATTCTCAGACACTTGTGCTTCCGCTAGTGATGTAACTTGCAGTCTTTTTTATTTTTTATTTTGTTCTATTTATTGATTACTTTTTGTTTGAATCTCTCAACATTTTACAACAGTAGCCAGGTGGTGAAGACAAGAAAAAAGAAACTAGCTTACAATGTCACTTGCAATCGCCACTTGCACTCTCCGATACCTGCGACGTCACTTGCAATCGACACAAATCGTGGGTGTTGCCAATGGAGACAAGATGCTGTGGTGGTGATTAAACGATTAAAACTAATTTTGTACCGTAACGTACAGGGTCCTGCAAGCCATCTGTAGGAGAAAAAAACAAGACCCGCAAATCCGTGGCAACAGAACAGCAGAATATGAACGCAATGCACACAATGCGCAAACTTTCACTTGTCCTCCCATACAGCAAAATGCTTAATGTGGCATAATAACGGATGATAAAGACAATTCAGTAGCCTATCTTGTTGTTGACTCAAAGTATATACAGAACAGCAAATATGAACGTGCATTATGAAATGCATTAAGTGATTTTAAAAGGATCAACTCCGTACAGGCAAGCAGACGAGTCCAGAACGCAATGCATTAAATTGCACGTAAAAAATTTTCCTCCCATAGAAAATTATTATAAATAAAACACGTAATGTAGCTTAATGGACAAAGACAGTGATATAAAAGAGCTGTAGACAGTTTATTATATATAGAAAAATGCTTAACGCAAAACTTTGCGTGTTGCGTTTATTCTGGGCTCACCTGCTTGCTTGTACTACAGGAGGAAAATGCTTAGCGAGAGACTTTGCGCATTGCGTTCATATTCTGCTGTTCTGTGGCCACGGATTTGCGGGTCTCGTCTTTTTCTCCTACAGATGGCTTGCAGGACCCTGTACGTTACGGTACAAAATTAGTTTTAATCGTTTAATCACCACCACAGCGTCTTGTCTCCATTGGCAACACGCACGATTTGTGTCGATTGCAAGTGACGTCGCAGGTATCGGAGAGTGCAAGTGGAGATTGCAAGTGACATTGTAAGTTAATTTCTTTTGTCTTGTCTTCACCACCTGGCAACTGTTGTAAAATGTTGAGCGATTCAAACTAAAAAAATAAATAAATAGAACAAAATAAAAAAATTAAGAATGCAAGTGACGTCGCTAGTGGAAGTGCAAGTGTCTGAGAGTGCAAGTGTGAAGTCAAGGATTTTAAAAAATCGAATAGTCGAATAAAATCGATGAATCGCGACAGCCCTTAATAATACCCATTATTCATTGATTTCTTTTAATACTTGAACGAAGAACTAAAAATGAAGTATTTTTGTATTTTTATTCAAGTAAAAATTAAAACAAGTACTTGGACTTTACTGGAGTAATATTTTATTAGGGTATCTGTACTTTTACTCAAGTACTTGATTTGTGTACAGATTTCGAGCCCTGTACCGAGACCTCGGCCAGACCATCAACACAGCCAATGACGCGGAGGACCTTAGGTGGTGGAGGAACACCCATGGGCCAGGAATGAGCATGAATTGGCCACAGTTTGAGGTATAGTAAATTTCTCTCTGCAAAATGCTGTTTTGTTTAGAATATTTGCTACATCACAAGAATGCCAGGAAAGACGTTTACCAGACTACCAAACTTGAATGCGAACATTTGCTTAGAAAAGATATGACATTTACGGACCCAAACACTGCTGTGGAGTCGTCAACCATAGAGCTGTTTTGGCCCTGGGCTCCAGTGATGGTGAATTTCTAATAGGCAGAGCGTGAATGAGCTGTTGTCTTTGCACGGCCCATGAGTGGGTTCTGGAATGCCGGATCCCTCTCCCTAATGGCAGTCTCCTCCCCCTTCCTTTCCAGCCCTCCCCACAACACAAACACATGCAGACACACAGTGGCAGTGTCAGCATGTCCGTTTATGCAAATGAGGTTTGTACATACACAACTGTATGTGTACAGATGTGTCGTGGAGTCTGAGTCTGTCAGAAATTTAAAAAACCCCCATGATGTGAATGTTTAATCGAGCAGTAGGAGAGTGAATAGCGGTCACAAAGCTAAAATGAAGCTTTTAGTCAAGTTTGCCCAGGTAAGTGACACCTCCAGAGGAAACTTCTGGCATCCTCCCTGCTCTGCCAGCACACTGGAGCCCTTTGTATGGCTGTAAATAAGCACAGCGCTCTTTCTCTCTCTGCACGGTGATAGAAGGCTGACTGGATGATGGTCCCACATGTGACTGTGAATATAAGTGATGTTATGTCACAGTCACATTGTGTGACTGATCTGTCTGTATTCTTGTTCTGCTTTAAGGCAAGGTTGTTTACTTGGATTGATTGAACCTAATTTGAGTCATTTTGTAAAAAAAAAACAAAGGTATATATAATAAACAGTATATTTAGTTTTGAACTTTAATTCTCCCTTGTTATTAGAAGGGAAAACTGGGTGTGAAATAATGTAGTGACAGTATAATGTATTGCATTGTCATTGCTTATTGCAATAAAAAATGAACATGCAACACAAAATGCTGTAAAATTTGAAGGTAAATTGTTTGTTGGGGTGCTTTTTAGCAACTTATTCTCAATCAGACATAAGATTCATCTGACATGAACTGAATCAGTTTGGGTGACTCACAAATCATTTTAGATTGTCTGTATAGGAGTATGTGTATACATATACATACACACACACATATATATATATATATACAGTGGGTACGGAAAGTATTCAGACCCCCTTAAATTTTTCACTCTTTGTTATATTGCAGCCATTTGCTAAAATCATTTAATTAAATTTTTTTTCCTCATTAATGTACACACAGCACCCCATATTGACAGAAAAACACAGAATTGTTGACATTTTTGCAGATTTATTAAAAAAGAAAAACTGAAATATCACATGGTCCTAAGTGCTGTGACACTCATGTATTTAACTCAGGTGCTGTCCATTTCTTCTGATCATCCTTGAGATGGTTCTACACCTTCATTTTAGTCCAGCTGTGTTTGATTATACTGATTGGACTTGATTAGGAAAGCCACACACCTGTCTATATAAGACCTTACAGCTCACAGTGCATGTCAGAGCAAATGAGAATCATGAGGTCAAAGGAACTGCCTCAAGAGCTCAGAGACAGAATTGTGGCAAGGCACAGATCTGGCCAAGGCTACAAAAAAA